CCATGTTTCCAGAGCAGATGCACGAGATATCGTGCGACTATGTGACTCCTGTGCCACATACAAACCTGCCATACCGATGGGAGTAAACCCTCGAGGTTTGATCCCTGGTGATGTTTGGCAGATGGACATCACACATATACAGGAGTTTGGGACTCTTAAATATGTTCATGTTTCCACAGACACCTGTTCTCACGTCATATTTGCAACAGCAGAAACAGGTGAAAAAGTGTCTAATGTGATCAATCATTGCCTGGCGGCTTGGGCCGCATGGGGCAAACCAAAAATATTAAAAACTGATAATGGACCAGCCTATATAGGCAAAGCCTTCAATGAGTTCTGCAAAATGATGGAGGTTCAATTAAAACATGGTATCCCATACAATCCCCAAGGTCAAGGAATCATTGAGAGGGCTCATAGAAGCCTCAAAGAAATTTTACAAAAACAAAAAGGGGGAGTAGGCCAAGGCCTGGCCCCAAAGGCACGATTATCCATGGCACTATTCACACACAATTTTTTAAATTTAAATAATGATAATTGCTCCCCAGCCGTGGAGCACTGCAACCCTTCCCCCAACCATAAAGGGTGGGTGAAGTGGAAAGATGTCCTGACAGGACAATGGATGGGCCCGGATCCAGTGGTCAGCTGGAACCGAGGCGCGGTTTGTGTTTTCCCACAGGAATCGGGACGAGAACCACTGTGGGTACCGGAGAGACTGACACGGGCGACAAAGCCCTCGACTAAAGATCAGACCTGCCCTACCGGAGATCCATCACAGACCAACCAACAAGATGAATAGAAATAGCGGTAGCCCGAAATGGACAAGAAGATCCTCAGGCATATGCATGGCTCGCTCGCCTAGCCTACGACCGAGTCTAGGGGCGGTGAGCTTCCCACACTCCTCCTCTAAAAAATTATGACATAGCTGGGTAGGAGAGTCAATGACGGGTAAGAGCGTACTCCCCCGGTGCGACTCAACCTAAGCCAGGCCCTACCCCATCCTGCACGTAAGCCGCTGGACTGTTAGATGCTGCCCAGGTCTAAATTTCTCTCCGAGGGGATTTCTTTACGGAGAGGAAATGAGTGCAAGCTTGTGTGCATCCAGGTTCCGTCCAGTTTGTGCCTGGCCCTAGAAAAAGGACGAGGGCCTCAGGGCCTTGGCAGACCATGGGACGGCCGACCAGGGTCTAAGCCAAGGACCTACGGTGGGCCTACGCATAGGGCATAAGCCTCTGCACCCAGTCCAGGAAGGGCTACGATGCGCACATTCATAAAAAATAAAAAAGGGGGAGATGTTGGGAGCCGCAGCCCCGAGCCCGGTCGCCTCACTTGGCGGACGTGAGGCCTGTAGTAAAGAGTAAAGCCTGAGGTAGATTACCCCTCCCATCGAGCACGTTAGTTTCCTGCTTACCGCGTAAGCAACCTGCTCAACAATATAGTCTGCCTGGCAACTGATGATGTTAGCCAATCAGCTTGCCTTGCTTACTTTAACATGATTGGACACTGTATCCGTATATATACTGGTGCCACCCCTGGGGGAGAAGAAGAAGCCCGGAAGTAGAAGCCCAGAAGGAGCCGCGGGGAGCGGACCAGAGGAGGCTTCGGCTGGGAGCGATCCCAGGGCAGGCTGTACGGAGAAGGAAAATAAAAGAAAAGGTTGTCCACTGCCAGACTTTGTCGTGTGTCCTTCCTGCCGGCCAGGAGCGACATCGACACAAAGCCACTTACTCCTGAAGACATACATTATTTTTGAGGATAACAATATCATTTGAAATAGACACTGTGAAAAGAATGATTGGGAAGTAGAGTTGGAAGAGGTTCAAAAAGAAGTTCTGCACAGCACTATTAATAGCATAATATGTGGTATGGGAATAAAGGGTTCACATTTGTGTCTCTTCATACCCTTTTAAAATCTGATAAATATGGAAAGTGTATTAAGCTGAATAGAGTTTTTGTTTAATCGTTGCTGTATTCAAAGGCTCCTTATACTATTTAATTGTGGAGCACATTCATGTTCTTGGTTTTAAAAAAAGTAATTTTGTGGATTCAGTGAGGTATGAGGGATATTGAGTAGAGTTTTTAAAAACAACATGTTCAGTGGTTTTGAGAGAATTCCACAAGATGTCAGAAGAAGGAGGTAAGAAGTCAGAGGCTGTGAGGACTGTACTTGCAATTGCAAGGATTTGGTAATTCAAGGACACAGGTGAAAATAGAAGAATGTAAGAGAGGTGTCAGCTAAGGAAAGACTGTGAAAACATCCCTTGAAATATTCCAGGGTGAAACCTCCTCTCCCACATGCTAACTGTGCCTCTTACCCCACCTTGATTGAAACAAACAAACAAACAAGCAAATAGAGAAAATATCACTTTTGACAGTCTTGCAGTTTAGATGGAATAGTTTTGAGGAGCTAAGAAAGGACAAAATCATAAGAGTCAATTTGATAGCTCTGTGTCTTCCTAACATAGCCTTGCTTTAGCATAGCTAGTATCTTTGATACTCAGTGTGGTCTGAAACTGAATTTACTCCAGAACTAATGTATTACTGTCATAATATATACAAATATAATGGAGAATGTGTGAAAAACTTTTGTAACCAATTTCCAAAGTACTACTTACATCTGTTACATTTAATAATAACAAAGCTTAGTTTATGTATTTTTTTTTATTTTTCAGTTTTATTATATTTTACACATAACAGATCAAGGTAAAACTGTCCTACCTTCAATTTTTTTTGGAGAAGTACTAAGCAATGGAAAGAAACTAATTTGAATGGAGGTAGTGTATCTTGCCTTTCTCTTTTGGAAAATTGAGGAAATTAGTCAACTTGGCTCAGGTGAGATTCTCATGAACTATTTTCCATTTAGCAGTTATGGTCTGTCTGTCTTTGTTTCTGTCTGTCTTTTTCTCTCTAAAACACTGCTGAGCTTGTTCAGAGGAGTGTTTGGCATTAAAATATATGGGAACCAACTGAAAGACCAGCATGACTGCTGACTTGAGTAGGTACACCTGTGGCCTATATGCTATTTCCTGCAGACTAACATCAATGTAAAATTCAAGGTAAATATCAACTCTACTAAATGAAAGTGATAACTACTACAGTAGGAAATGGCTGTGAATATCATGTTCAATGAAAAAAGCTAGATAAAAACTATGCATTGATGTGAAATGCCCAAAAGTGCGAATATGTAGGCAAATCAATGATTGCCTGGGGCTAGAGTCGGGGTGAAGAAAGACTAAATTTACACAGAAATTTCTTTGCAGGTTGGTGGAAAAAGCGCTAAAATGAGACTGCTATAATGTTTGTACACCTCTGTAAGTAAACTCAAAATTTTACCTGATTAGGTAAAATAACTATCCTTTAAATAGTTTGAGAAGCTCCTGAGTAACAGGTTGAAATCAGACTGGTTCATACTGACTTTTATGCTTGAGAAGGCAAATTTTGGGGAGAAACATTATATCTCAATAGATCTGTTCTCTAAAATCGCAATTCCTAATATAAAGAGGGAATATATATATATATATATATATATATATATATATATATTGTACTCTAAAATCTTAAAATATGAATCAAAAATGTTTTGATGCCTATGATATATCTCAGTTAAAACTGATGCACTGTACTGAGTACTTTACAGATATTTTTGTCATTTATCTCATCAATCTATCTATATATATTTTTAAGCCCTCTCTGTAGTGAAAGAGCAATAGCCTATTAACCATGGCATTATGTCTCGTGTTACTGAGCTGGTAAATGGAAAATTTAAATGTAAGTTCATGTTCCTTTGATTAAAAAGTATATGCCATATATACTTTTTAATTAAACTTTTTTGATTTTACAAAGGTCAGATAAATACAGATATACAAAACACTCTATATTCTATATTAACCAATAAAAAATGCTCCTGGTTCTGTAGGGAAAAAGAAACCCTTTACAACTGTTGGTTAGAGAGTAGATTAGTACAAACACTGTGGAAATCAGTGTGGAGATTCCTCAAAAAATTAGGATTAGAGGTCCCATTCAACCCAGGTATTCCCCTTCTGTGTATCTTCCCAGAAGGATTGAAAAACATCACACCACAGTGACATATGTGAAACCATAAGGTTCAAAATATACAATAGTCACTGTGAAATGGAAAGAAACTGTTCAATAAAAAGAAGAAACTAAGATAGGGGCAAAGAGAAAGGGTAGAAGGGGGAAAAAAAAACAAGTTAGTTATACCATTAGTGTCACTTATTTCACTGAATAGGAAAGGTTGTGCTAATATTGATTGAAGTAATTTTTATGCCCATATTTTGTACTTGAGTGACTAAAGATAATGTTGTGTAATTTATCAACAATTGTTACTTTTTCATTATTTTGTTGTGAAAATTTGTTTTACCTTTTCTTCTTAATATTAACGAATAAAGTAATAAAAAACACTCTATATTCAAATGATAGAGAAAAATTTAAATTTTAAATCAGATTTTGAAGTGATTTTGTATATATAATAATATTCATAAAAATATACGACATTAATTTAATATTGATATTAGTTTGCATTGAGAATACATGAGATTCATAAAATCTCCTTTGTTATTTACAGGCAGGTTATGAAATATATATATATATATATATATATATATATATATATATTTTTTTTTTTTTTTTTGTACCAGGGATCAAACTCATTACCTTGCACTTATCAGACAGGCACCTACTCTGCTGAGTTAAATCCCTGGATCCAGAATATATTTTTGAAAAATATTTTTATTAACCTGTGGTTAGGATTTTTGACTTTTTTGCCTCATTCTTAATGAAATAAATGTTAGAAAAATGTTCCTATAAATGTGCCAGAAACCATTTTATATTCTCCTGACTCTATCTCACTTGACATGAGTTATGCCAACACTATAATGATGACTTGGTATGTTTAGAGGTACATACATTTGTTTATGTGTCAGGTAAAGGGTAAGATTGCAAAAAAAAAAAAAGGATTAGGGAACATTCATTGGAATTTTTACCTGCCAATGGAGGATTATATTCCAAATCAAACCAAGAGTCAGTTTATGATTTCCATCAACTATGTCAGTGCTTCCAATATTCACTAAATCAACCTGTCAAAGAGAAAGGGAAAAATATTTCAAGGTAGAGACCACATTTGTACTTGTAATGCAAGCAACTATGAACATAAATACCTTTATCTATAAGAGAATGTGTAATATACCTTTTAAAATGCAAGTAAAAATTAAATGAATTTATAAATTCACTTTTCCTAACAAACAACCATTTCCACTACACTTACAGAAATATGGAATGAAAATATGTATAGTACATAAATTAATCACTGCAGATTAAGTAGGGTACTTAGTATCTCCAAATAATGTATACAAGTCATAAATCATATACAATGCCTAAAATTAAGAAAAGCTTCCTACTACAAAATTGCAACTAAAAAGGAAAAAATAAAAAAGGAAAGAAAACTGAAAAAGGAGTAAGTCCATTACTTTTTCATCTAACTCAGAGGAGAGCTCTTATAATTAAGGGTGACTATATTTGACTAAAAGTTAGCTGCTTTGGGAAAAAATGATAGAACTCTAATAAACAATGGAAATAGCAGCTATTTCTCTTTTTCCTACTCAAAGATACGTTTGGGAATCAAAATCTAGCAGGGCTTCATTTTTAAGGAAAGTTTCCTTACTATGGTTTTTCCCTCAGAATTTCATGTGCCAGAAGCTTGATCTGCAGTTAATAGTGTTGTGAGAGATGGTAGAACTTTCAAGAAGTGGGGGCCTAGTGAGAGAGGACTAGATCAGTGGTGGTAATACCTTCAAAAGTGATTAATATCTGTCTCCAGGAAAAAGGTTAGTTCACAGGAGCCTGGATTGGTTAACACCACAGAGACTTACTATAAAGCAGCCTTGACTTTCTCAGCTGGCTCTTTTGCTTCCTTTTTTACCAGATGACCATGTTTACTTGCACATGCACCCATGATGTGATAACACACTCCGTTAAGCCCTCACTAAAAGCAGATGCTGATACAGGGCCTTGGAACCCCAGAACTGTGAGACAAATAAGCTTATTTTGTATGTAACTGGTTACAGGCATCTTGTTATAGAAAGAACAGACTAAGCCACTTTAGGTCACCTTTCCTTCATGAATCTAATATTTATAGCTGAAATTTAGTTAAAAATAAACAACTTTCCATTAAAATGTGTTTAAAACTATTCAGCAGTTTGGAAGTATGATTTATATGTGCAATGAGTTATTGCTACCCAATCATAATGTCTGAAATAAAAGGAGCAGTGAGGATGTAGAGAAATTGTGTCACTCAAATTTTGCTGGCAAAAAAGGTAAATGGTACAACCACTCTGGAAAACAGTTTGTCAATTTTCTACAAAAATAACTACAAAAATTCCTGAACTGGGATCTTCAAATTTTTATTCAAAAGAAATGAAAATTTATGGTTATACAAATATAGTGCATAATTCTAGCTTCATTTTTATTAGTCAAACACCCAGAACAACACGCATGCCCTTCAAGGGTGAAGAACTAAACCAACTGTGGTAAAATAGCACTAGGAAATAACACAAAACTATAAATAAACCATCTACTGGTATATGCAGTAACTTGGATGAACTTAGTGGAGATTAAAATGCGAATAAAAGTCAGTTTTCAGCGTGTTGTATACTGTATGATTCTCTACATAATGCTACTGGGATTAAAAATTATACAAATGGAGAAGATAGTATCAGTTTCAACAGTTAGGAATGAGGATAAGATATATAGAACTGGTAGCAGTAGTTATACAAGGGTAATACAAGACATCCGTGGAGTTATATAAGCGTCATGAATCTTGACTCTAATCATGGATATACAAACGTACACATATGATAATACTGCATAGAACTAACCATGGGTATGGACCCACAATTACAAATAAAACTGGAAATACCTGGATAATACTGAAACATTGAATTAGTGTTGACATCCTGTTTTTGTGAGACTTCAGTTTTGCAAGTTCCCAGATTATATTGACTAATGACTCATGAAGAAGAAAGCACTATTGTCTTTATTTCATATGGAGATTCCTCATGCAGCTTCAGAGGAAAAGAATTCCTCCACATGTAAAGGCCATTATAAATTTAACAAATGATTCATTGATTCACAAACTCATTTTGGCTTCATTCCACACACTGATGTACTTATGTGCTTTGTAGAAACATTTATGCTCAGGGAATTAATGCTGATAGTTACATAGCTGATAATTGATTTGTCATACAGATGATCCTGGGAAGACTTAGAGAATGCAATAAATAAATCCTATCCACCATGATAAGACTGCTCACAGAGTGAGCAGACAGATGGCTTTTGTATTTTCCTATCTACAAAAATTCCTTTAATATCTAATTTCCATTATATTCAGGCACTATTCTTAGCCTTGCTAAAAAAATAATGTGGAATTCCAAATAACAAGAAACTCACAATAGGAGGCCAAATAATGAAACTAATTACAATTATATAGGCTCTAGCACTTCTAACTCTAGATACATACTATATCAATAATTAAAAATCAGAATTGAAAGCAGATACTTGACCACATACCTAAATAGAAATGATCCAAATGGCCACTGCCAGATGAAAGAGTGTGTGTGTGTGTGTGTGTGTGTGTGTGTAGTAGCCGTAGTAGTTGTGATGGTGGTAATAGTAGTAGTAGCACAAAACTCTTTAGCCATAAAAAGAAATGAGACTATGATACTAGCCATATAATGAACCTTAGAAACATGGTAAGTGAAATAAACAGGACACAGTGCAACAATGCTGTGTGTTTCCACACACGTGAGATATCTACAACCACATAATCTGTAAAGACTGAAAGAATAGAAGTTCTCAGAGTTTGGGGGAGAGAGGACTGGGGAATTTCTTTAATGAGTATGAAGAGAGTTGTGCATGATAAAAAGGATATGGACACAGATAGTGGTGATGGTTGTCCAACAATTCTATTGTCCAGCTATATAATTAAAGCCAGTTAACTGTAGAGTTTAAATGGTTAAGCTGATATCCCAGCAAAGCAAAGATCATGTATTGAAGGACATAATTATAAAAATTTAAAAGGTAAAATTTGAAAGCCTTTCTTTTGAAGTTAGGAGCAAGACAAGTATGTCCACCCTTGCTGTTCCTATACCACAGACAATTAGTTTTAGCTAGAGCAATTAAACAATTGAAAGACATAAAAGACATCCAAATTTAAAATGAAGATATGCAATTATTCTTTTTCAAAGGACATGTTCTTAATTAGAAAAATGTTTAGATGCTTGACCAAAAAACTTTTAGAGCTAAAACTGAATTCAGAAAATTTGTAGGATACAAATTTGATATAGAAAAATCAATAGCATTTCTTTATGCTAACAATGAATCCATCTAAAAAAGAAACCTGGAAAAGAAGTCTATTCACAGCAGCTATGTGCAAAAAAAAAAAAAAAACTCTCCTTGGAATAAATATAATCAAAGAGTGGGAAGATATGAATACCGAAAACTACAAAAAGCTGATACAGGAAATTTTAAAAGACACAAGTAAGTGAAAAGATATTGTATGCTCATTAGAAGAATTTATCTTGTTGTAATACCATTATCACACAAAACAATCTGCAAATTCAGTGCAATCCTAGTCAAAATTTCAATAACAGTTTTCATAGAAATAGGGAATAAAATGCTAATATTTATGTGGAATGCAAAAAGTACACGATAACCCCAGTGATCTTAAGAAAAATGAACAAAAGGGGAGACACTAAAATACTCAACTTTAAAAGATAACACGGAGCTGTTGTAATTAAAAAAGTGTGATACTTGCATTAAAAATAAAGATACCTAGAACAATGAAACAAAATTGTGAGCCCTACATTTGTCTAGTCAATTGATTTTTGGATAACAGTGCCAAGAACGCCAAATGCAGAAAGGACAGACTCTGCAATCAATTATGCTACGAAATCTAGATATTGTATCTACATGCAGAAGAATGAAATTAGATGTTCTAGCTTATGCACTAAGCAGAAATTAACTGAAATTGATAAAAAGTAATTATATTCTTCTGATAATTATATTCTTTTGGTATATTCTAATATTACATATTAGTAACATAACACATAAAAATGAACAGAAAAAATGAACTGATTAAAAATGAGCAATAAATCTAACAGGTGTTTTTCAAAAGAGGATATACAAATAGCAAAATGGTAATGGACAATATTCCCAACTTTGCTAAACATTAGGGGAATGCAAATAAAATCCATAATTTCATGTCACCAGTTTACCTAAGTAACAATGATTACTACTAAAAAGAATAAAGGAGAAAGACTGATTAGGATGTAAAGAAGAGGAAACATTGTTGGTGATAATTTCCATTTTGTATACACATTATTGAAACAGCATGGAGATTCTGCAAAATTTGAAACAGAACTATATGATCCAGCAACCCTAACATTGGGGTATACAGCCAAAGGAAATACAATCAGTGTGTGAAAGCGACACCTTCACTCCCGCGTTCATTGCAGTGCTGTTGGTAATACTCAAGAAATGAAACTACTGGGTGTCCATCAACTAATGAGTAAATAAGAATATACTGTGTATATAAAAATTGAATGCTACTCAGTTATAAACAGATTGAAATCTTATCATTAGCTATGTACAGTACAACATGTACAATATGATATCACTCATAAAATCTAAAAAAAGTTTGATTTCATAAAAGTTGTGAGAGACTGAGGCAGGGGGATGCATGCAAAAGAAAGTAGGAAAGTTGACGAATGACAACTAAAAGTTAGATAGATTCAAAATGTTCTGAAGAGAGCTGGATGTCATGGCCCATACCTATCATCCCAGCACTCGGTAGGCTAAGGCAGTAGAATCACTGCCAGTTTGAGGTCAGCCTTGAGCTAGGGTATATAGCGGCTCTGAGCAGGATTTAAATTTTACTAATTGGCTTTCTATGTTTATCTGTGAGTCTGGCCTAGGCCTAGGCCCCTTGCCTGGCGTCAGGAGCTAATTCATAGAACCTCTATGAATCACTGGCCCTGGCTGAGGCCTGTGGTGGCCTGTGAGGCTAGAGATACCTCAAAGG